CGGGCTGGGGATTCGAACCCGCCACCTTAGGTGTATGTGGCTGGCGCCTTAGCCGCTTGAGCCACAGGCACCGAGCTGTCTTTTCATGTTCTTATTGGCCATTTGTGTATCCTCTTTGGAGAAATGTCTGTTCAGATCCTTAGTCCACTTTTAAGTTGGGCTATTTGTCTTTTTGTTATTGAGTTGTAGGAGGTCTTGTGTGATTTGCTAATATTTTCTCCTATTTTTGTATCATCTTTTCACCATCTTGATGAAGTCCTTTGAAGCACAAAACATTTTGAGTCCAAATTATCTATTTTTTCTTTTGCTGCTGGTATTTTTGGTGTCATGTCAGAGAAACCATTGCCTGATCCAGGGTTGTAATGATTTATTTATACCTATGTCTTCTAAGAGTTTTGTAGTTTTTGCTATTATATTGAAGTTTATGATTCAGTTTGAGTTAGTTTTTGTGCAGGGGTCCTCAAACTTTTTAAACAGGGGGCCAGTTCACTGTCTTTCAGACCATTGGAGGGCTGGACTGCAGGCCCCGGGACGAGTCTGCTGCTAAGCAGGACAGGCAGCGGTGGCAAAAACACCGGGCGGGCTGGATAAAGGTCGGAGGCGGGCTACATGTGGCCCTCGGGCCATAGTTTGAGGATGCCTGTTTTTGTGCATGGTGTGAGGTTTGGATCCATCTTCATTCTTTTGCATGTGGAGATCCAGTATCCAATTGTACAAGCACCATTTGTTGTGAAGACTGTCCTTTCTTCATTAAATTGTCTTGGCACTTTTAAAATTGCTCATAAACATGTGAGTTTGTATCTATGATCTCAGTCCTGTTCCACTGACCTGTATGTCTGTCCTTACACCAGCTGGACCTTGACTTTTGTAGCCCATGTTTCCTGGAGGAGCAAGTACCCTCGGGGCAGAAGTGTCTTGGGTTGCAGGAATCACCCTTACCTCTGTGGGTTTGGGGCTTATCCCAGCAGTTGGCTGGTACTTTTCCATTATCTAGTCAGTTCTTCAATGCATTCAAGATGATATTTTATATACTTATTTTGTCCAGCATTTTTTTCATAGTTTTCA